TCGTTTTGTAGATTTTGTACAATAAAGTCGATTTCAAAATGTCCCCGTTATTTTCTACATGTGACTTGTCAGTCTAGATGAATATCATGACGATAGTACCAATACTGAGCCTTGTATGGGCTAGCATATTCGTAACCATCAGGAAACTCGGCGCCACTATTGACGAGAAATCATTAAATTCGGGTTAATAACAATAAGTACAAAAATTACACGAAAACGTGGGACTTACCATTTCTCATTCGGTGGGGCTCTGCCTCCATATGTCTTGGTGCGGTAGATGTATGTGACATCACTGAATGCGCCAACACCCTTATTGTAAAATAAATAACGTCAGTAAACTTGTGCATAACCTTGGGCTACGTTTACCATGTTGACGCATACTCACCCAGTTGTAATTAGCTTTGGCCAGCAGCCACGGAATATTGTTCTCTCCATCAGGAGAAGGGTAAGTCTTGACTGCTTTGGCGACAACCGTAGAATGGTCTCTTCGAATTATACCACTCCATGCCACTCTGTTTCGACAGAAACCAGAATTGAAATTAAATGGTTACAAGTGGAAAAGTTTTAACGGCTGCTTACTTACCCACTAATGTGATCGATTTTCTATGTAATAAAAAAAAAGGCAAAGATAAAGAACAAGTGTCAAGACGATTAATGATGTATATTTTAAAAACCACACGTATTTGTTCTACTTTACCTCTAAATGGTGAAAAGCAACTCGATCACAAACATTTTCAAACGAATCGTGACGGATGTCATTTATTAAATATGCGACAGGTCCAACTGTATGACAAGAATGTTGTTGACACGTATAAGTAATAGGTTTGCATCATTACCTGACCTGACTCTGTACTTACCAAATGTCCAATTTCCTGGTTGTCCTTGTGTTCCAACCTTGCATTGATAATGTTGATATCCAGATGCATACAGCAAGAACTTGAATTTATTTCCTTTGGGAACTTTGACTGCGTCTGGAACGTGATCCGATGGTTGATCTATTGAACGTAGTATTGGAAAAATCAATGGTGATGAGTGAGAGCGTTGCGTTTTTTCAATTAGTGAATTACGAATCTGTACGTTTTATAGTGCCGATCTTAATATGATCTCGGCAGGCAGCCTGGTTATAGTCACTATAGGTGCTTGTTGGAACATAAATATCGGCCGCAGAAAGTGCGTATGCAGCTGGTCCAAGGACGAGCACAATGACGAGTATTAATATAGCAACTTTTGATGTTCTGCTTGACATTATTATGATTGTTGTTGGTATACTTTTTATTTTTCAGTCAATTAATTCCGTATTTATCGCAACCTGAGTTGTGCCTTGGAAAGCGGAGGGGGAGTATTTATAAAGAGTAGAAGGGCGGCAAACCAAAATGGCAACAGCGCCAAATGGTGGCTGTGACGATAGCTGCTATTCAAAAGATTTTTATTAGCCGAAATCAAAAATTTGGGAGCTGGCCCACGTTTTTTGTCGGCATGCACATCATTTTTTATTCTAATTGTTGGATTATTCTGTCCGTAAATGGATTTGGTTGCCTATTCATGTGAACGCACAGCATAGCAAAACATGTATGGTCGAATTCGCAATGTACATCAATTGATCCAAAGCCCGCATTGCTATTTTAAAACTTGGGAAAATGCATCCGGCTTAAAACTAGTTGATGTGTTGAAGTTCTTGCTAAAAGCGTTATGTAAAGAGGAGACGCAACACCGAACATTTCGGAAACGCAGACGAAAGTATTTAGTGATGTGCAAAAGCATCGATCTAGTTATAAGCTATGTGCAACCACGTTGCTTAGTAATCAGATTTGGGATAGTTTGCTTTTTCTGCTGACACGTTGATAGGATTGACAATGGCGTCGTCGAATTGATTTCAAACGTATTGTTTGAATGTGTGACAACCATATTAAATAGACTAGCAAGCGCTGATCTGATAATTAGTGTTCAAAAAAAGAAGCTTTCTGGAAACTAAACTGTTTTGGAAATAAACGGAAGATTTGATCATTGATTTATACGACTTTTATCAATACATCGATAGCAAAATTGACTTCCTATCAACGGAACAATGCGTCGGAAAGAAAAAGTAAAATTTTGAGATAAGTCGTTATAAATTCTATTAATAACAAGTCTTATTTCCTTATAATGAACGTTTCTATAGGAGTTTGTCCTTCTTACAATACTGTCCGTCTTGGTGATTTTTAAAAAACCGTTGAAATAAATCAATTATTTCAATTATCACGTGATTGAACCAATAGGCTAGATTTGACGGAAGATACTTCAAAGGTTTTTTAAAAATCACCTAGACAGACGGTATTATAGGAAAAACAAACTCCTATAGAAACATTCTTTATAAGGAAAGAAGACTTGTTAGCTTGAAGCAAAGGGGTGTTATTTACACGGTGAAATTTTCTTCGCCATATTTTACTATGAAATTAAGAGCAACATGGAATTGTCGATCATTAATTAAACCAGGTCGTAATGGACGTTACCCCGACCGATATGGAACATTGTTCCGCCGTACGGCAACGTGACATGCAAAGAAGCATATAAAACAGATTTCCCCCTCTCTTCTGACAAAGGCATGGAGAGTTCCCAATCTATTTTGCTAAGTGTGCTGGACCTGGCACCTGTAGTTGATTCGGCGCTTCAAATTGTACCACAATCAGCGATTCAAAAATGGCTTGTTTGAAAGCCAAAAACGCACAGATTTTATTAATAACAAATCAATAATTAATTCTTTCTCCGTTTC